CTTTTGGCTTCGTTTCTCATGGGGAAAAAGGCATGATTTTTTTAATCGGATTTAGAAAAATAAATAAACGTACCGTCCCAAATAAAAATGTGCCGGGTGGAATTTTTCTGTGGAAAAAATAAACGTACCGGTACGTTTATATTGGGACATTTAGCGTTGTGGGCAAGCTCACCTGAATAGCGACATATTTTTAACTTCGCCTATTGCGTGATCAGTGGATTACGTAAATAAACCAACACTTTCAATGAGTACATGCCGACCCAACTAAACTTGTTTATGGCTGTTTATGAACAGCGAGGACGCATCTCATAGAACAATAGCTGTGGAAATCATAAACAAATGTAAATGTTGCGGAAATCAAGCATGGCGATAATCATTTTGAGCGAGGCAGAGTCTGGCAAGCATCTCAGAGCAGCATTGCGCGGACACCACCACGACGTTTGAATCCCGGTGAGAGCACTGCAAACCTCTTAAGTCACGAGGTAAACTTTCAATTTACACAATACATAATCAGTTCCTACAACCACAATAAAAAGGCAGTTTCTCTGGCGAAACTCTCGACAGGTTAGCAATAGTTTCTCACGATCACCAAACCCGAGACACAAACGATAATACAAAGTGTATAAATACCATAACAAGCACAGTTTCTTACCTTTGAAATTGACAAGACACAATTTTGTCCATAGAAGCGTTGCGCAAATAAAGATACAATTCCGGGATACAATATCCTCACAAAATTGACTGATTTCCACCGAGACGAGAACTGCGTAAGCGTCATCAAAACTCAGATTAAACTCGGGTAATTTCGGGAAAAGTCGGATTTTGAAGGAAATATGTTAAAAATCAAGGAAAAACACAGTGAAACTTTGAAGAATCGAAAAAATAACTTGATGTGCACCATAGCACCATCAATTTCTGTCTCTGTACCAACTCTGAACTGAATTGGATCACACATGTGTGAGAAAAAGCTGGTAACATGAAAATGTGCACACACATTGCACAGACACGACCCAAATTAATACCCCCGCTAAACTAAAAATTTATAATGCAATGTTATATACTGCTATTATACTGGTCTCAAACATAAACTTTATTATAGCATAATTGTATTACGTTCAAATCACAATTTTCACAAAACTGTTATATTAGTGTTTTGTAACGACTTGCCATTTTCAACATTAAAGTATATTGAAAACATGTTTTATTTCATAGTTATAATATTCTAAAACGTTATTATAACGTAATTTATTAGCATCTAATCAATTTTTACCTATAGCTGTGTAGACTCTTAATTTTTAAGAACAACGAGTTAAATCAATCACACTCTATAATATTTTAAAGATGTATCGTAATTGTTAAATAATATTATTATTTTTTTGATGAAAACGTTATTATAGTGCCATTTAATTGCGGATAAATACAGTTTTTATCTTTGCACCCCTATCCAAAAAATGGTATGGACCATAAGCTCAGTACTGAGCATGCTCAGTCCGCTGGCTTTCCCGCAACGATAAAACTCGTGGATGTAACTGTTGCCGGCGTTTTCTTCATTCTTCGCATGGTAAGTGGTGAAATAGTTGTATAATCTATACAGGTTGTATATTAATATTAATATATATGATTCAGACAAAGATTTTACTCAGAAAACTATGATTATTCAAACTTATCAATCAGAAAGATGGTTGCTACGCGAGGCAGAAACCAACCATTTTGAAGTTGCTGGCAAATTTGAATTTTGTTCTTCCCTGTGTTGGTGGTTCGGGGACAAATTGTATTTGAATGAACTTACTTTCGTAACATTTCTTGCTTTCTTTGTGTTTCAGAATAATGTTGTTGGAAAAGGAAATTAAATGATGATATGTCCAAGTGCTATTGACGGAAAATCAAGATTTTTGTGTGGAAATTACACAAGTATATGTAACCATGTGTAATTTCTATGCTAGCAAAACATAGTGGATAAGTTATTTTATGACTGATCAGCCTAATAGAGATATTATGGTACATACAGAAATGTACATGTACAAGTTGTGGCGTTGTGAAATAGTTCTACACTTAGCTATCAAGGAGTGCATGTGATGCGGCTTAGAAAATAGTTCTGATTGTAT